GGAACACAGGAAAAACTTCATCACGGTAGCGCTGCTCCTTCATTTTCTAATTATCAGGACTGGGGGGGAGTCCTAGACCAATCTGCACTGCTTAACTGCAGTAGTGAAAAATGAGATCACTGTATTGTTTGGCAGTGGTGTCTGCGTCACAAGATTGGCTGAACAGAATTAGAAATCCAATAGAAACAATGTATTTGAATTGTATATTTAGCTCTTTAATCAGAACCTGGCTAGCATTACCTGCTACTTTTATTAATATTGCAAGACCCCTATTTTATTCCAACCACCCTGCCACAGCTTTGACATTTCTCTCTCTTGATAAGCTATAAGGTCATGTGCTTCTGGCTGGATTCTACATATTAAACAGAGAATGTCAATTTTTAAAGATGCAGGTCAACAAGTAACCAAGTGAAGCCAATAGGTGTTCTTCATTCCACTACATATTATGAGAATCGAGGGCGTGACTGAACCAGCTGGTATCTATAGTAAAACGATGTATATGTTTTTAGCAGATTTACACTTTACACTTAAAGATCCAACTCTCACAATTGATCAAGGTTTCTGAAGAATAAACCGACACAGTCTGTCTTACCCTATAGTAACAAATCAGATGCAAATGTTCATCTTCAAACTGTCACTTTCCATTCCATGTTTCAACTTGATTAGCTGCAATGAAGCAACACAGACTTGAGACAGTTTTCCCCACAGACGCTTTCATAAATAAGGGCAGTTTGTGCTGAACTATGTGTTTGTCCTTGTGTTTTGTTTATTATGTGTTTTATGGATGATGGATTACTTTGGGCCATTGTTTGTTTTTTATCATACAGTCCTTTTTAGAACACCTTGTAAGATTGGTATGTAGGTTCATTAAAACATATCACGTACTATAAAATAACGTATTTTTTTTCTGAGCCCTTTGTGACTGTAAACATGCATATGTATTGCTCTCCTAAACATTTTTTTCGTGTTTGACTGATTTGTTAAGAGTCCAAACTTGGGCTAAGTTTTTTATTGCTCTCTGTGTCCTCAATAGGGACAGTTTCTCTTATTTTTTTTGAGCCCTGCTGACACCAGGATAGGAAATGAGAGGACACCAATGTTACAAGACAGGAAAATACAGAGAGCAATAAAAACCTGATGGTTGTTTTAGCCCCCTCCCACTGTACTAAATATATATGTGAAGTAATGTTCAAATGGAATCAAACCTAAAACTAACTATCCTAAAAAATGCCCCCCCCCCCCCCCCCCCGCCTATTCTTCCTACCCTGTGAAAAAAAGCTCTGTATACTTACTTATTTTAAAAGTGATATTAAAGGCAGATTTTTTTTTGTTTACAAGTAGCAAACATGTCATACTTACCTGTTGTGTGCAGTGGTTTTGCACAGAGCAGATCTAATCCACCTCTTCTCAGGTCCCCCACTGGTGCTCCTGGCCACTCCCTTCTGCCTAGTGTCCCCATAACAATCAGTTCCAATGAGGGCACCCAAGCAGGCTCACTCCTGAACCACTGCTCTGTGTGTCCATTCACACACAGAGCATGGCTCGACCCATCCTCGCTCTCTCCTTATTGGTTTACTGTCTGTGATTGACAGTAGTGGAAGCCAATGGCTATCACTGCTGCCTCAGCCAATGAGGGGAGGGAGAGATCCAGGAGAGCCAGGGCTCTCGTGCACAATGCTGTGTAATCGATATGGGGCTCAGAGAGTTTTAGGGGGCTTAAGGGGGGTGTTTTACCTTCATGAATAGAATGCAAGAAGTTAAAAACCTTGAGCCTTTACAACAACTTTAAAGTCATATTAAAGGCATTTTTTAAAAATAACAAACATGTCATACCTGCTCTGTGTAGTGGTTTTCCACAGAACAGCCCCAATCCTCCTGTTCTCAGGTCCCCCTCCACCATTGCTAATTGGCCCCTCCCTCCTGCTAAGTGCCCCCCAGAACAAGCAGCTTTCTACGGGGGCACTAAGCAGGCTTGTTATCCAGCACGAGCTGCTGCTCTGCATGTCCATTCACACACATAGCTGCAGCTTGACCCTGCCCCTCCGTCACTCTCCTCATTAGCTCACTGGCTGTGACTGACAAGCTCTCTTGCACATCGCTGGATTTAGATGTGGTTCAGGTATGTTTTAGGGTGGCTGGGGGGGGGGGTTTTACCTTCATGGTGTAGAATGTGAAGGTATAAAACCTTGAGGACTTTACAATCATTTTAAGTCTGGTACGTTCTCCCATTAGCGTATCTCTCACACTCCCCTTAGGTGTGTGCAGCGGCGGTATGCGATCTGCCACATGCTCAGTACTGGGCCAATGTGATGGGGCCCAGATACAATTTGATTGCTATGATACATCATCTGGGCTATCACCATATTCAAAAGGAGTTGGTAGAACAGAATGTGTTTTAAGTTGTAATTCTAAGTATGGTCATGCTGTATGTGAGAAATAGCTTATTAAATTGACAACTTTGTGTCAATAATTTGTAGCAAAAAAATTAAGTCTTCAAAAAAACTTACCATGCCTCTTAGAAAATACCTTGTGGTGTTTTCTTTCCCAAAATGTAATCATTTTATAGGGTTTGTTTCCACTGTCCTGGTACTCCCAGGGCCTACACAAATGTGATAGGTAATCAGGAAATTAGATGCATAATTTAATGCCCCTAATGAAAGCCTGAAGCTGCTCTTTGGATTTTGGACCCCTCTCTGTTTGGCTAGGCTGTGAAAAAGTCTCACACATAGGTATCCCCATACTTTGGAGGAGTAGCAGAATGTGTTTATGAGGTGTAATTCTAAGTATGCCTATTGTGTGTATTAGAAATATCTTATTATTGTAAACTTTGGCATAAAGATAATACATTTTTCATTTTCTTTCCTACATTTGCCAGAAATGTGGCAAAATAATGACATTTTCAAAGATTTTTTATTCCTCTTAGGAAATACCTTAGAAGTGTTTGCTTTTCCAAAATTGGGTAATTTGTGTGGTGATTCCACTGTTTCTGGTGCTCCAGGGGCTCCAAAAATGTGATAGGTAGTAAGGAAATTAGATGTATAATTTAGTGTAATTTACGCTCCCTGAAAGCCCAGAGATGTTTCTTGGATTTTGGGCATGCTCTATGCATTTAGGCTGTGAAAAAGTCTCACACATGTAGTGTCCTCATACTCGGGGAGGAATAGCAGAATTTATTTTGGGGGGTATAATTATAAGTATGCCTATTCTTTGCGTGGGGCTTACAAATGACAGCTTTATTATTTTTTAATTTCTTAATTTTCTAAAAAAATGACAAATAAATTCCAATTTAAAAAAAAAATCACCATGCTTCTTACTAAATACTTTGGACTGTCTACTTTCCAAAACCAGTCTTTTCTAGGTATTTATACTGTCCTGATATTTTAGGGCCACAAGAAATGAAATAGGCAGTCAGTACATCAGGATTGATCAATTTTCAAATATATATACCATTACAGTAGTTTGTAGACTCTATACTTTTTCATACAGACTAAAATAATATTACACTGATTTGGGTTATTTTTTACCAAATAAATGTAGCAGAATACATTTGGCCTACATTTATGAAGAAATATTATTTATTTGCATACATTTATAAGAAATTGTTTTTTAAGAAAAGCAAGTTTTATTTTCCGCAAATTTTTTTTAGAATTTCATTAAAAAAATAAAATACCGTATATACTCGAGTATAAAGGGCCGAGTTTTTCAGCACCTAATTTTTAGTGCTGAAAAACGGCCCCCTCGGCTTATCCTCGAGTCAACGTCTGCAGGGGGCATGCTGTCTCTTACCTGGCTCCGGTCCCACGACGATCCGGTCCAGGAAGCGCGGCTGCTCCTTCATTCGGTTTATGTCCACTGGATGTTTCGCGCGCCATCTGCTCGGCTCCGCCTTCTCACGGTGATTGGCCGCCAGAACTGTACTCAGGAAAGGCACACAGGCGGCAATCACCGAGCGAGGAGGTGGAGCTGAGCGGCCCCGCGAAAATCGAGTGAAGGAGATGCAGGTAAGTGTGCCGTGCTTAGGTGCTGCTGCAACCACATATGCTGGCTGCAGCAGCACCGTACTGGAACAGGGGTCAGCAAGTGTCAGTGGGAGGAATAGTGCCCCATCATTGGTGTCACTGATACCAATGATGGGGGCATTTATTCCTCCCACTGACACCCAACGATGGGGCACTTTTCCTCCCCCCCACTGACACCAACGATTGGGCACTATTCCCCCCCCCACTGACACCAATGATGGGGGCACTATTCCACCCCCCACTGACACCAACACCAATCATGGAGCACTATTTCCACCCCCACTGACACCAATCATGGGATACTATTCCTCCCCCCCACTGACACCAATGATGGGGCACTTTTCCTCCCCCCCACTGACACCAACGATGGGGCACTATTCCTCCACCCCCCCACTGACACCAATGATGGGATACTATTCCTCCCACTGGCACCAATGTTGGGACACTATTCCTCCCACTGACACCAAAGATGGGGCACTATTCCACTGACACCAATAATGGGGTGCTATTCCCCCACTGATTACTAATGATGGGGCACTTTCCTACCACTGATACCAATGATGGGGCACTATTCCTCCCACTGACACCAATGATGGGGCGCTATTCCTTCCACTGACACCAATGATGGGGCACTATTCCTCCCACTGATACCAATGATGGGGCACTATTCCTTCCACTGACACCAATGATGGGGCACTATTCCTCCCACTGACACCAATGATGGGGCACTATTCCTCCCACTGATACCAATGATGGGGCACTATTCCCCCCACTGACACCAATGATGGGGCCTATTCCTCCCACTGATACCAATGATGGGGCACTATTCCTCCCACTGACACCAATGATGGGGCACTATTCCTCCCACTGACACCAATGATGAGGCACGATTCTTCCCACTGGTGTTCCCACCCTCGGCTTATACTCGAGTTCAATAGCTTTCCCAGTTTTTTTAAAAACTTAATTTAGGTACAGTTTTGCATGATTTAAGTCAGGGCTTGAAATTTCCACTCTCCTGCTTGCCAATGGCAAGTGGAAATTATGGTGGGGGCGAGTGTGTCCCCCAGGGCCGTCTTGCTGGGCAGGCTCGGAGCTCAGGCCGGATCTGTCATTGGCACTGGGAGCCGTCAGACTGCTCAATAGCTGAGCGCAGTGAAAGCAAAGGAAGGAGTGTGTGCTTTGCTCTCTGCCTCCCCCTAGAGTGCAGTACCCAGCTCTGTGAGTGAACAACGAAGTACTGCAACTTTTTTGGGGGGATGGTGGTGTGTGTGTGTGTCTGTGTGTATGTACATGTGTGTATCTGTACATGTGTCTGCGTGTATGTACATGTATGTGTGTGTGTGTGTGTGCATGTGTCTGTGTGTGTGTACATGTGTCTGTGTGTGTATGTACATGTGTGTGTGTGTGTTTGTGTGTATGTACGTACATGTGTTTGTGTGTACATGTATCTGTGTATTTATTATTATTATTATTATAATACAGGATTTATATAGCGCTAACAGTTTGCTCAGCACTTATGTACGTGTATGCATGTACATGTGTCTGTGTGTATGTACAAGTGTCTGTGCATGTGTATTTCTGTGTATGTTCATGTATCTGTGTGTATGCGTGTCTGTACGTGCCTGTGTGTGTATACATGTGTCTGTATGTGTGTGTGTGTGTGTACATGTATCTCTGTGCGTGTGTGTACATGTTTCTGTGTGTGTATGTGTGTGTGTGTGTATGTACATGTCTGTGTGTGTGTGTACAGGTGTCTGTGTTTGTGTGTGTTTGTTGGTGTTGTTCTTAAGGCCTGGCTAGTAGCTCAGGACTTGACATTTTAAACCCTGACTTAAGTAATTGTCATGCAAAGCCTGACATCTCTGAAAACCTAAAAATGGCCTGGGCAGGAAGGGGGTGAAAGTGTCTGGTACTGAAGTGGTTAAACTATGGATTTTACGGTCTATTTGTAGGGGGAGGTCCACCTCGTTGGTATTATTTAAGCCAGTCCAAAAGTCAAATTTAAACACTGGCGGATTCAAATCCTGCAAAGCATTCTGTATGAGTAGAACAGGTGGATTGTAAGCTGGAGTATATTTTGTTTTCAGTAAAATATGTTACAGAATTTAATTTTACCAACAGTGATACTGAAGGAGTGAAGTGTAAGAAAAATTCATTAATGGTCTAGCGCTGGTTCACAAGTACAAAATCATCCAAGTCTGGGATTCTGGAAACAATTTGAAAAGTATCACCTTCATAGAGCAGGTGTAAATTGAAATATGGTGGTTTGTATAAATAGAAGCATTTCACTTGTTTTCTTTCTCTTGCTCTCTCCACCTGTAATAGTTTTGAATAAAATGTGACCAAAGCAGCTGTGTGACTGTAATATATTAATATTATATTAAATTAAAATGGAAATATTTTTACATATTGCAGCACTGGTATGGTACTTTTTGCAGAACACAAATAAATAATACTTACTTTACTTTACCCACCCATGGTTCCATGACAGCTGCGTCCCCTGATCTTCAGTGCTGGAATGCAGGTAGCAACTCCAAGCAGAACCCAAAACTATCCTAAGGACATGGACACAACATTACCAGTCAGGGAACGGCATGCAAAGAGGATTTAGCAGACCCGTTATCACAAATGGAACTGGGAATGCTAAAGATTATATTAGTGTGTGTTAGAATATTTTTAAAAAAGAGATTACCTAGGAGCAGGGGAATGCAATAATTTCTTTTTTTGCTATGAGGTCTTAGTTGAGCTTTAAAGTGATTGTAAAGGTTTAACTTTTGTTTTTTAAAAATAACAAACTCGGTATACTTGCCGCTTGCTGGGTCCCCAGCCAGTCCCTCCTGGGGCCGCATTCAAGCATGCTCGCTCCCGAGCCCCCACTCTGCGTGTGCCCTGTCCCTTTCTCCCTCCTCACTGGCTGTGATTGACAGCTGTGTCTCAGTCAATGAGGAGGCAGAGAGCCTTTGCACATCACTGGATCGAGATCAGGCTCAGGTAAGTATAACGGGGGGCCGGCAGGGGGAGCCCTTTACCTTAATGCAGAGAATGCATTAACCGCTTCCCGACCGCCCTATATCAGAACTAATGCTACAGGGCGGCAGGGCTGTGCTAAAGCATGTATATATATGTGATTTTGCATTTCCAGGTAGGGGGCGCGCGCACCGCCCTACCTGCGCTGCCATTGGCGGCTACAGCTGTCGATCACTGGGTCCTGGATGGAGATTCCCCGCCGGCACCCGGCGATCACCGAGGAACACTGACAGGGGAGAGGTCTGTATGTAAACAATACAGATCTCTACCTTGTCAGCACCAGCAAGCTGCTTTGTATTGCTCTGCATAGCAGAGTAAATACAAAACAGCATGCTTACATAGTAAAACACACAGTTGTTTGTTGTACACACAGTTAACCCTTTGATCACCCCAGATATTAAACCCTTCCTGCCCAGTGTCAGTGCTTTTTATTAGAATTGATCACTGTATTAGTGTCACTGGGGATATCAGTGGCAGTTAGTTAGTTCCCCCCCAGTGTCAGAATGCCCGCACAGTCCCGTATCAGTCGCTGATTGCGTCCATTACTAGTATAACAAAATTTAAAAAAAAAAAATCCAGTATATATACCGCCATTTGTAGATGCTATTGCTTTCATGTAAACCAATTAATTTACTCGTACTAGGATTTTTTTTTTCAAAAATCGTCAGTCTTTTTTTGTTTATAGCGCATAAAAATACAAAACACATGGGTGATCAAATACCACTGAAAAAAAAACTCTATTTGTGGGTAAAAAAGGACATAAATTTTATTTGGGTGCAGCGTTGCATGAACGCACAATTGTCAGTTAAAGTAACGCAGTGCTGTATCACAAAAAATGGCCTGGTCAGGAAGGGGGGTAAATCCTCTGGAGGGCAAGTGGGTTAAGGTAAAAAAAAAAACCATTCTGCCTTTAGAAACACTTTAAGATATTTACGTTTTATAAACACAGCTGCAGCCCTTATCCAATAATGTCAAAAAGGATATTATTACCAAATGCTAATTGTAAGCCCCATATAGCCTAAAATGGCTAACAGTGACAGGCAGTAAGAGGCAAAATGAGAAGTGTTTTTGGTATTTTATTTTCTATGCAGTTATCAGTACCTTTATATACATATTGATAAGCATAATGTAAGATAACTCTTGTACTTTATATTTGTGGTTGTTTACTACATGTTTGCTGATTCATGTATTGTATATCGTGTTCAGCTTAGTAAAGCATGAATCGTTTTGATATTCAGATTGCACCAATTAACTTGATATGCCAGAAACTGTGGAGCATGCTCAGTGCTAATATAGTAAAACAATGTTTTTGCTTTTTTCCCTGAAAAGTGTGTATATTTGTGTAGCTAGTGTGGAATTATTGCTGTTGGGGCAGGTCAATGCCACAGTAGATATCAGTATTTTAACGTTGGCAAGAGATAGTACTTGGCTTCCATTGCCAGTTGGGTTAACTGTATCTAGCATGAATGATCTGTTATGTTTTGTGACCATGCTGCCTAACCCATGGGGGAGATTTACTAAAAAACTGGTGCTAAGTGAATGTGGTGCAGTTGTTCCTAGTAATCAATCAGCTTCTACATTCAGCTTGTTCAATGAAGCTTTGACAATAACACCTAGTAACTGATTACTATGGTTACTATGTACAGCTGTGCCAGATTCTGTGTGCTCCAATTATAGTAAATCCCCCCCTCATATGTCTGCAAACACTGACAATAAGTTGCTGTTTTGAACCGACAAGGCCAGGAGATACATGTAATGTAAAAAATCTAGCAGCTGTGCCTGTCCGGGTTTATATAAGATTCTAATTTCATCATTATTTATGCTGCTACACTCCCATATATATATTTTTGAAAATCCATTCAGGGTAATGTAACAGATTCTCTTTAATAGGCAACCTGCCCTTCATTTCCGATCATGGGTTTTACTTTGTTTGTATTACCCTGGCCCCTGTTCTTAGAGCCAAATCAAAAAGGTCCTGTGTAGGATTCAAGTCTACTTGGTTGGAGCTTACACAAGGCTGACTTTCCTTCTCTGGCCTCCACGTGACAAAACTCAACCCTGTGAGGAAGGTAAGAGAGGGACTTGCTCTGCCATACCTGCTAGTACTGGGTATTTCCCTTGGCTCCAGCATACAAGCTGCCACTGAGTGCATAGATACTATTCCTGTTCTAAAGGAGAATTTATACACAAATTATGTTGTGACAGGAGTGACTTTTGGGGGTGGGGGGACCCCTATATCAGCTCCCCATATTCCTCTTATGTGTAAGCCACCCTGTGCCTGTTAGGGGTACAGGGTGATCTGTCCTGATATTGTGTAGACATGTATAGGTGAGGTGGGGGTTGTTCATTGTTCACTGCCAGGTGCTGCATCCCATTGTTCTATTGTGTCTTGCTTGCCAGCAAACTATTATGGAATGTACGTGTTCCTGTACTGTCTACTGCCAAGTGGTGTATCCCTTTGTTCTATTGTGTGTTTTGGTTTGGTGGGGGTTTTTTCCGGCAGCCCTTCCCCCTGGTGGGATGGCCTGCTGATGTGTTTCCTGTTACGGGTTGCATTTCCCCGCCCTGTGTATACATCTTGTGTTTGTGTTAAAATAAAGCAGTCTACTTCCTGTCTTATTTCCTGCTTGGTCAGCAGTGGGGTCCGTGGATAATGTTCGGACAGGGAAGCAGGAGTCTAAGGGAAATACCCTAGCACAGTCGGGGTCCGGTTCCGTTACATTGGAAGATAAGAGAGGGACTTGCTCTGCCATACCTGCTAGTACTGGGTATTTCCCTTGGCTCCAGCATACAAGCTGCCACTGAGTGCATAGATACTATTCCTGTTCTAAAGGAGAATTTATACACAAATCATGTATAGATCAGTGTGGTTATAATGTCTTCGGAGTCCATACCTATTCTATGTCTTGATAAAAGGGGGGTTTTGTTGCCCCTGAAATGCATTGGCTGATTTGTTCAAACTATGAATAAATAAAGGCATCATTGGTCTCTTTCACTCTTTGGTTTCTGGGTACCATTTGAAGGGGGTCTATCCAAGAACTGCCTTGCCAAAGTAGTGAGATCACTTGCGAAGATTTTGAACTGTACAAACAAGCACTGAAATCACAGTGCCTCACAAATGTGTTTCTCTGGAGCCAAGCATACAACTGGGCAGCATTAGATATAATAATATGAGTACTGTTATTATATATATAACACCACCACCACCACCACCACTTGCTGCCAGAACAGCTGCTGTGTCTTATAATATCATTGGGCCAGTAAGAGCCCTTGTGGAATTGAAAGCTTCAAACTACCAAATTTTAATACATGTAACTTGGTTGCAACACATACCACTGAACTTGGCCATGTACAGTTTATTGTTGAAGTAATGTAATATACAATTATAAACTTTATTGGTTTAGCAGTATATAGTAT